AGCGGTGGTGCTGGGAGGGAGGGGGAGGGGGCTACGATGAATTTTGGGGTGGCTGCAGCCCCCCTCCCAGCACCACCACCTCCCACCCTGAACACAGCTCGGCTCAAACCCCTCTAGGAAGAGCTTGGCACCACCCCAGCCTGCAGCAACAGCTCACCCTCGCCCTGCATGCAGATCCAGGGGCACAAGCCCCCCCATGCCCTCCTGGGGTGCATGCAGCAGTGGGAGCTGCCCCTTGTACCCCGTGGATGAGCTGTTCTTGCCTCCATCCCAAGCCCCGCCCTAGCTGTGCAGTGCCTGCCCCAGCCCCACTCCCTCCCTCACTGTGGAGGCCTCAATCTGTACCCCCCCCATACCCCTTTCCTCACCCCTACCCCCACAACAGACTTACCAGCTGGACCTTCATATTGGCAATCGGATCAGTATTGGCCAATATGGCTCATTAAAAATTGGCCGTCAGTATCAGCCCCGAAAGTCTGTCAGTGTGCCCCTAGAAATCATTCTAAAAAGTACCTTGTGGGGCATGCTGGGCCTATTGACTGATGCTGTTACTTTTTACCCCTTGTTTTACTTTCTTCAGTCAAATTTCTACCTCACGCCTAATAAAATGCTATCTAGATATGATTAGTATTGCATTTTCTTTCCTCCTACATCACTTACCTTTTTTTAAAGGTTTGGTTTCTGATGATCATAATATGAAAAAATATAACTTTTTGTAAACTTAGTAGCAGTAGTTTAATTTACAGCTTTCACTAAAACAGTACAGTAAAAAGGATGATAACATTACATGTAATATAGAAATAGCATTATATAATTTGCGGGTTTTGCTAAAAACATACAATGAGATGAGACATTCTACCACTTTAAAAAATTAAAGCAGAACATAGTGTGTGCACTGATACAAAAAATAAGTAAAATGAAGCAATGTACAATAGTACACTAAATCAGGGGAGCTGTGTTTGATTTGGGCTCTTTATGCAAGTAACACAAATATGCCTAGGAAGTACAGAGAAGCTAGAGAAGCCATATTGGTTTTTTTCCTTCATTAGCCCAGTATTTAAAATTTTCCTCTAATGGAGAGAGACATTTTCCTATGGTAAAAGAAAAATGCATCTCTCCATTAGTGGAAAATTTTAAATTCCACTCTGTTCATCCTTGAAGAATGAACAGGGCCACAAATAGTGATTTAAGTTGTCATTCTTATTCCACATCCCTTTCCTCAAGGAGGGTAACAGTATTTTGTATATGGCAGGAGTATCAAACGTGTGACCTGTCTAGCCTGCTGGGCCACTAGTGGGCTACCGTAAGGCTGGTGCTGTGGTTAGGGAAGAACATGACCTGCCTCAGAATTTGAAGCCTAGAGAGCCCTCTGGGGATGGCTGTTGGTTGCAGGAGGGTGAGTGAGGGCTGTGCTGATGCAGCCCTGCTCACACTACAGTCACTTGATCTGCTGCTGTCTGGCTCCCTTGCCACCATTGGACTTTATGGCAGCTACTACTGGACGTGTTGCTTAGATCCAGCACAGGAGGAGCCCCACGGTTTAATCAGGCCCAGGACAAGGATTACACCCTGGTAGAGGGGAAGGATCCAGCTTACCCAGGTGGAGGCAGCTTTTCTAATGGAGTCCCAACTGGACTTCTAGCTCCAGCTCTATGTCCCTTTTTTATAACTTAATAACTGTGATGGAGCCTGTGATGGAAAATGATGGAGCGTGTGCAATAGCTTTAAGCTGTGGGAAAAGTATAATCTTAGCTTTCATTGTTTTGATGCAGTCTATTATTCTTTAAAATTTAAGTTTAATAACCTGAAATGTATCCTCCTAATGGACTACTTGAATAGCCTGTTTAGTTCTTGCTGATTATATGAAATGGGTTCTTATGTCTGCAGAAAATTTAAATGTCTTCAGAAGACAAAGAAGCTCAGGAGGATGAGCTGCTGGCTTTGGCTAGTATTTATGATGAAGATGAGTTCAAGAGAGCAGAGTCTGGCCAAGGAGGAGAAACTAAAATCTGTTTGGAGTTGCCCCCAAATTTCAAGATATTTGTGAGAGGTGAGTACAGATGTTTTGCATTATTGTGAAATAGATGTTCTTAAAACAGTCTCTTTTTTTCCAAGATATACGTTCAAAAAAGAGCTACCCAAACATTCTTTGTTTTTGAGAGGTAGTTAACTGTTTTAGTCTAAAGTTAGGCAGAAGGCAGGACAGGGTGGGATTTTATAACTAACTTGTTCAGCGAGGCGTGAGCTTTCATAGGCTATGGCCTCTTACATCAGATGGGACTTGCAGAGAGCAGGGGTACTAAATAGGAAGGACTAATTTCATTTTAATCTGAATGATAGGGAAAGGGGGAAGAAAAGAGGCACTGCTGAGAGAGGCCTAGGGTCAGCTGAAGGGATCAAAGGGGAGTCTTTATCTTTGTAATGGTGAGTAATTTCTCATACATTACCACTTCTCATTCATTACCACCCATTCTTACCGTGGTATGACTTAATTATTTTCAGATCACTTATTAAAAACAGAAGCTGAGAAAGAGTGACTTCTAAATTTTGTGTGTAGTTGGTGGTGTTTATGGAATTTTTAATAACTTTTCCAAATGACTTCCTAAGGAAAATTCTGCAGTGTTTCCAAAGCTTTTTCTATTTTGAAGTGTGCATACTTTTATGCAAATTGACTATTCACATCATTGAGGCCCCTTGAAACAAACTATAATTAGGTTTGTAAGTGTTTTCATTTTTATTTAGTGTACATTTGTAACACTTTGTTTCTGTAGTCCCTTCCATCTGGGGCTTCAAGAAACTTGAAATATTAAATTAAAGGACTTCACCTTTCTTAAAAATGACACTTCCTGCGGCAAAAAAAGTTGCCCACTGTTGTTACAAGTGAGATTGAGCATTGCCAAATATGCGAGATTATTCAAAATTATTATTCTCTATTTCTTCAGGTTGTTTATTTGTTCATCTGTCACCATTATAGTTAGTTTCATTAGTTCCCATATCTATTAATTCAGTTTCCTATTTGTGTGGTCCAAATGTGGAAACAGGTATAAATCTTTATATTTGGTGGGATAACTTTGAAACTAATCTCCCTGCATTTTAGACTCTGTGTTCTTTTATGTTTCCCAGACCATGAGGGGGTATTACCAAACCCATCAGATAACTGCCTCTGCTTTAATTTACTTGTTGATTGTTGTTTGCCAAAAATTGCACAATGAAACATAAAATCCTCAGCCCTGATATGTAGAAACACTGTTCTCTTGAAGTTGTATGAAACGTGAACGGGCTCTTTCTCAAGTAGCCCAGAGTAAACCTTAACATTGAGAGGAAGGTTAGTTATCTTCTTAAAATTCTTCTTGAGGATTTGTCTTTCCAAATGCTCTGGTTTCTCATTTACCTGGCAGGTCGCAGTGTTAACGGAGATAGTATTCACCGATCCAGCCTCAAGCATACAGCTCTATGACATTTTTCTGTGTTAAGAATGGGTATAGTCTGAGTTAAACAATAAATTCACCAAATGAAAAGAGAAGTCTTGAGGACCATATCAAGCAGTTATGCTTCATCAGGCTGCAAAATCCAGAATCATAGTTCTCTTGCTGTCTCTCAAATTGCTTCAATCAATTGTCTTTGTTTCAGGCAGTCCTAATGAGAGGCTCCTGCACAATGGGTTTGAGTATTCAATTTGTTTTCTGCCTCCACTTGTGTTGAATTTTGAACTTCCACCAGACTACCCTTCAGCCTCCCCACCTGTGTTCACGCTCAGCGGCAAGTGGCTCTCTCAGACACAGGTTTGGCATTACATCTTTTTAATGCTACTTTCAGGTTTCAAGAACATGAAACATGCTTATTATGAACAGTTTAATGATAGGTAGTGAAGGAACTGGAAACTAAATTCATGTTTTTAAAACCCAGATTAATCCAGGTTCAGATGGAGGAACAATGTTTTGAGGTAGAATATACACTTATCATACACTTATCATGACTTGCATGAGAGTGCCATAGGCTGAGAGAAAGCAACTACTTGAGAACATGCAAACTAATGTATTCCCATCCTCATTGTGGTGGATATGCCCCCAGCAGTGGGGAAAAACCGGAGAACCTCTCACAAAATGTGCCAATAAAGCTTAATAAATATCTTCTGGAAAATACAAGTGATGTCAGCAAGAGAACAAGAGAGAGATATCCAGGCTAAGAACAAATAGAAACAACACAAGCAGAGATGTATAGTTGCTACTGCCTACCTGTGCAAGCTAACTACCTTATGAGGTAGCAGCAAACAATCTCTGCCTCTTTTTCTCTCTGCATGTAAGCAGAGTGTACAAGTACCTGAGCTTCTTGGACCTGAGCTGTTGGACTGGAAAACCAGAAAACAGCTTGTTAATTATTTGTCACATATTTGGTTTGCGCTTTTTTCATAAAAATGATACAAGAGTCACTTTGAAAATGGAGCTTCAGCCCCACAGTGCCACATTTTAAAGGTATTAAAAGATGGGCACCTAATAGGGACTTTTGAATGCTCTCTGCCTTGTTCCCCTTGTTTTCCGTGACAGTGAAGCACTTAACATGCATTAGGCAATTTTATAAATCCCATTAGCTGCTTGTCTAAATCTCTAGGCAATTAAATGCTTTTGAAAATCTGTTCCACAGTCATTTTTTAAAGTGACCTATGCACACTGATTTGAAATCTCTTACACTGTGCTTATATATCATGTGCTATAGGGTAGGTATTCTTGTAGGTGCCTATCATACTGTAAAATACAACCTGTATCTTGAAACCAGGTGTGTATCCATGTCACAAGACTCAAGTGGTTTCTACCCTATAAGAAGGGCTTTGTGATCCATTCTCCCCAAAAAACTCTCGTCTTACTCTGAAATACATAGTAGAAAACAGCATTTTTTATAAAGAACAAAACCGTTTTTTAAATAAAGCCAGGCACTGCACTAACAGTTTTGCTGCATATTGCATATTTAATTGAACTATTTTGCTCACAATTTTAATAGCCTTGTTCAACTGGAGTTTATTCTTGAGCAGTGGAGAACTTAGTAAGAGAAACATGCAATTTATGTGGATTTTTTTCTTCATCAAACTTTGAGTTATTAAAGTTAACATAGTCTGCTTTTTCAGATATTTCTATAATGTTAGGGAGGAAACTGGAAAAGCAGTTTATTTCTATAGATCAGGCTTTCAAAGCAAACAGCCTTCAGATAACACGGCTGATTTACCACCTTGTGAAATGTGCACTCAGGTGAGGTGATCACAGCTGGATTAACTTGACTCTTGCTGAAACTGCAGCAGCTATTGTCTGAATTAACATTTGGCAATTGTAGCATGAGCTGTTATGCTCTAGAAGCAGCCACTCAATAGTGTAATTTGGAAAAGAGAAATTGAGGATTATGAATGGGTCAGAAATTCAGACTGCATTCAAAGTGTGCCAACACATTACAATTGCAGCTAGAGCAGTGATTCTCAACCAGGGTGATGTGGCACCCTGAGGTTCCTTGAGATCTTTTTGAAGCTGCCACACAATGTTAGCACTGTTAGATGTGCAAACGTGATTCACAGGATAAACCCAGAGATTTCAAATAGAAAACTAATGTCAAAAACATTCTGACCTGTTGTGGTCTTTCTGAGTTGTTTAAAACCAAAGAAATGATCTAATATTTTCTGTAGTCAAAAAACAAGTGACAAGTGAGATCTGGCATTTTAGACTGAAGGCATCCCTCGGAAAAAGGTTGAGAACCACTGAGTTAGAGGAAGGGCAAGCAGGTGAATGTCTAACTAAATTTAAACCTTATTCCCTATTCACCACTAAGACTTCACCGCTAAAAGAACTAGGACTCAGTGTTAAAATTTCACTGCATGTCACACAGCAGTGCATATCGGGAGGTGAAGTTTCTGGTCCCAAGTAAATGGGTCTACTATATTAAAATTTGGTTTGTTTGATAATGAAAGTGGAAAAGGTGAGTACTTTATGAATTAGTACATATATTTATCTGCTGCACTAAGTTTTGGATGTTTAAAACACCAGCACGGGAATAAGTCACAGGATAAAACATTACTCTTCAAATTGGGGGGAAATAATTGGCTGAATGTTCTGAACATTTTATATTTGGTCCAGCCAGAATGGTGGTGCAGATTTTTTTTTTCATTACAGTCCAAACTTTGAATCCCTAAGTTTCAATATCCATAATTCGTCTGTTTTTTCTTTGCCAAAAATAGCAACCTCCACCTGTAACCCAAAATGACTAGATCCAGACTATTGCTGTAGTATTAACTAAGTGGTACATAAATGTTTGCCAGAAAATAGATGAGTTCTTGTGATTACACTACTCTTTAATTTATTAGTTAGACACGCTGCATAACACTGGAGGGAAAATAGTACTTTTTTGCTGCTTTGTAATGTACAAGAGAGGCATGCAAGATGTAAGTTCTGTAAATATGAATGAAAGGCTTGTCCTGTCCTTATTTTTCTTGGAAGAATCTTTGGACAAATGGAGAATTAATAATGCAGACTACTAAGGAAGTTAAACCTGATTGAGAGGGAGGGTGATTTTTTTTTTTTTTTAAATCAAACTCTGTAAAGCCCCATTTTTACACTTTATCATCTATTTGAATTACATAGATATAAGCAAAAACATGAAAGGGAGGTTACATTTAAGAATCAACAGATAGAAACCGCATGAATTTTCAGCCCTTTATCTGAGACCAAAGAGGTCTCACAAAAAATAAGGAAGATAAGATATATAATTTCTTGATATTTCACAGGGGAAAAATGAGCAGAAAAAATAAATTGAAAAAAAACTTCGAAATTTCTTTAAATATCAAAAAAAGGCAAAAGGTATTTTTTTTTTCCAATTCTTAATTTAGCCAGTTCACCTTGAAGGAAATACTAGGTTCATATGGTACAGTTTATAGAACAATATTAATTATTGCATCACGTGATTTTTATTTATAAATTTCCCATCACTTTTATTTCCTAGCATCTTTATAATGCACCTTAGTTTTTCATATTATGGCAGATTGTGGATTTCTGCTTTGGCAATTGGAAAGTTATCAGATGGGAGTGGTTGCTTTCCTATATTTCCTCCTGAGTACTGTATTGAATTAGTTTATTTTGTGGCTTAAATTTGAAATTGGAAATTTCCATAAAAACACCACAGGAAAGGCACAAACTTTACTAGGATGAGTGAGAAGTTGTTGGAAGATGCGTTTCTTCATTCAGTTTCTGAACTTCTCTTCTAGCTCAGTGCTCTCTGCAATCACTTGGACAACTTGTGGGAGGAGAATCGAGGTTGTGTGGTCTTATTTGCATGGACGCAGTTTCTCAAGGAAGAAACACTAAGTTATCTGAACATTGTCTCCCCATATGAGCTAAAAATGTGCCACCAAGGAAATGGGCAACACAGGACATCATTGGTGCCTCCAAACGCTGAGCTAGATAGTTGTGGCGCAGCAGGCACCACAATAGCTGAAGAAGAAATCCTTGATAAAAGAGCTGTACAGGATGTGGAATCTCTGTCAAGTCTGATTATGGAAATCGTAGACTTTGATCAGGCCCAACGGAAAAAATGTTTTAACAGTAAGATACACTTGTGCAGTATCTGCTTTTGTGAGAAGCTAGGTGCTGAATGTATGTACTTCATGGACTGCAGCCATGTCTACTGCAAAGCCTGCATGAAGGACTACTTTGAAATTCAGATCCGGGATGGTCAGGTCCATTGCCTCAACTGTCCAGAACCAAAGTGTTCTTCTGTTGCTACTCCTGGTCAGGTAATATTAGCCCCATTTAATTGGTTCCTGCACCCCTTTAACCTGCTAATAAAAGTTCAGACTCACAGATATTCATGCAAAGTATATTCATTAACACGCACAGGGTTCTTTTCCCTTGGAGGCAATGTGTAACCATCTGAGTTAGAATAGTGTGCTTAGAATCTGAGTTCATCTGGCACCGTGACTAGCATCAGATGTCTCAGGCGGGGGATTGGTTTCATAAGATGTCACTAGCACAGATTGTTTTCACTATGGGCATTTTTATATGTGCTCCTGATGCAGCACTGGGCACTTTTATTTAGCAAGTCACACTAATTAAAAGTGCTGGGTGCTGCGTTGGAAACAGATGCATCAGCGGTGCATCGTGTGTCAGCACTGAGAAAATGGTAGCGGTGCAATTTGAACTCTTTAAAACATAGAACGTGTTTTAGTTCAAAGCACATTGCCACCATTTTCACAGTGCTGACGCACAAGACTGCCAGCACACATCAATTTACATGCTCAAACAGACTCAATTAATTGAGTCTCCTCCGACACGCTGGATTTCCAGTGTGTCAGAGCAGACTCTCTGCATGTGTGTAAGTACCCTATAGATTTGCCAGTGCCAGTGGTCTGAATTGCCAGTGAATCTTCAAAGCACTTATCCCCAGAAACTGTAGATTTAATTACATAGCTTCATTAGTAACTTCCGTACCTTACCTCTCCTTATATTGCTGCCATAAGCTGACTTAAGGGAAAGTAATATTTTAAAATGCATCAAAGCATATTTGAACTAGCTGCCGGTACTCATTTCTTTAAAGTGTTTTTATTGTAATAGTAACTGAAATTCTGAATAAATGCATGCTATGACGTTTTGTTCTGTGCTTAGGTTAAAGAACTGGTTGAAGAGCAGTTGTTTGCACGCTATGACCGCCTGCTTCTGCAGTCCAGCTTGGACTTGATGGCAGACGTGGTGTATTGCCCTCGCCCATGCTGTCAGACTCCAGTGATGCAGGAGCCTAGTTGCACTATGGGCATATGTTCCAGTTGCAACTATGCCTTCTGCACCCTCTGCAAAATGACTTACCATGGAGTGTCTCCATGTAAAGTCACTGCAGGTGAGTGACACTTGTTTGGAAGTTGAGCCCAGTGTTACAGTTTATATCGTGAATGCATAAATAAATACAGGGAAATATTTTTTTCTCCTTCTTACACCTTCCACAGTAGGAAACATTTGCATTGATGCAGCCTTCAGTATCTGATGGTGGGAGTGGAATTCTTGGACTTCCCTTGATATTGGCAATTTACAGAGTTGAAAACCTTGCTCCTGCCGTGCTGCAGTAAAATGAAGAAGTTGCAGGGGGAAAGTGTTTATTGCAGTATAATAATGTAGTTACTGGATCCTCATGGTTCAGGATTGTTTTCGTTAATACAAAATTGATTACTGATTATCTGGGGGAAATATAGTGCATAGAAATGGACATGTGAATGTATCCTGTCCCCACAGTGGCTTAGCGCCAGAGGAAGGTATAACAGACCTTCAAGGTGAGCATTTATGAGAGAATCTGCCCACAGAAAGCTTTTTCCAATAACTGAGGAGTTTAGTTCTAGGGAATGAAGTATTTTGATATTCAAAATACTTTAAAACCTATACTAAGGTAACCCAGGATGTTCTTGCCTTCTTCATACAAGTTTCCATTTGTTTTGATTCCATTTTTTTAATCCTGGTATTTAATGGGATTCTCGGTCATGAGAAATGTGTTGTTTAGAAAGCCTTTTCCTTGTGTCATTTTTATATTTGCTACCTGTTTTTACTCTAATAGGCTCTCCTCTTGTTGTTATGAAAAGTGGTGAAAGGAAGTGTCTCTCTACTATTTATTTCTATAACGTTGTCATGTCCACTTCTTCTGTCTGACTTAGGCAGGAGACAAAATGTATCTTTTCACTTATCACTTCATATGAAACCTTTTCCGTTAATGTAACCAGTTTTGTCATTTGTCTTTAAACACCTTTTATTTCAGTTCTAGTTTTGTGGGATAGAAGGACCAGAATGCAGCACTGTATGAACCCCATTGATTTATATCCTGGCATTGCAAGATTTTCAGTATTACTTTTTATTCTGTTCCTTCAGCATCTTGAGAGTGATTGCTTTTAACTACTGCTATATGTTGTGCAGGTGAAAGGAACATCTTGTTCAACATGCTCAAGTTTATAGACTTATAACTTGAGAGATTGTAGGTTACATGTGGGTCAGCAAGCAAAATGAAACTTCTGGGTGGCTGTTCCTTTATTTTTTTTTCCTGTCAGGGCTATTGGAATCCTCTTGATCACTGAGGTCTTTGAAGCCTCCTGGATTATGTCTCCAGTGTGCTTGACTCATCTTTTTAAGCATGCAGGGGCATCTGGAAAGTTTTCTGTAAGTCAGAACTGATCACTTACGTCCATTGGCAAACCTTACTTGCATTCTCTGTATGAAAGCGTTATAGCCTATCTGTGGTTGCATTGGTTTCTTTGAAAAATACATTAGACAATTGGACTTAATACAGTACCATACATAAAAGGCAAAGGGGTCTTTTCAGTTGCTCTGTTTCTCTTCCTAGAGAAGCTAACGGAGTTACGTAACGAATACCTAGAAGCAGATGAGGCCACAAAAAGATTTTTGGAACAGCGTTATGGCAAGAGGGTGATTCAGAAAGCCCTGGAGGAGATGGAAAGTAGAAAATGGCTAGACAAGAATTCAAAATGCTGTCCTTGTTGTGGTACTCATATAGAGGTGAGTTTCCCAGGACAAACTGAAAAATCCCAGTTTGCTCTCAACTGAACTGTCTTAAGTTATTCAGGTAATTTCTAATGGGAGTCAGAATATTAAAGATTGGTTTGTGAGACTCAGAGTAACAAGGGTTGTAAATCTGTTGTTGTGTGTCAAGAATTTCCACTATTCTGTCCACATTGCATATAATGGAGGTGGTGCCTCCAGAGCAGTGGGTATTTCATGATAATACTGCTGGCTACTATCTATATTCATTGTTCCGCTGCTAAAAACCTTGATTGGCATTGGTATTTGAGTCTCATATGTGCCACAGACTTCTATACTGTTCTTATACTACTTACAAGCATCTTTCTTTAGTTACTAAATGGATTCACCATTAGTCCTCAGGGTAATTGCTAATAAATGCTTCAGGGAAAAGACAGTTCTGAGTGTGTTTAATAGAAAAGCAAAAGAATGCTGCAGTGTCACTATCTAGTTGTTCACCAGCAATGAATAATTTTAACCGTGTTGATTGCATCTCTGCTTGCAAGAATTTATATTCACTATTTTTGTCAGTCAGAGCAGCTGGCATTACAGTAGACAAATTCCTCCACAGCTGGCTCACTTTTTTTAAAATCAGGGTCAAGGGAGGACAAAGTACTGGATTTTGCAGACAGTGTGTTGTAGACAGAGAAACATGCTCCAGTCACAGAATACCCTCAAATTGTACAGACGTGTCCTGTCTTGAGACTGAGACATGAGAAATTTAAATCTTTTCTGTGTTGATTTGCTGATTACATTCCCATATAGTAAAACCTTTTTATTATTTAAAGCCTCATAACTCAACCCTAACCAGGAGTCACGTATTAGTTTCCCATTTTGCCGGTAAGTTACAAACAGGTTTTGCAGGGTCACTTGAGGCAGAATGGGAACTATAGCAGAATCAACTTGGAGAGTTTCTTAACATTCCTTGCAGGTTGAACATGCCAAATCTGTAGTTATTTTGGTTGTCTGTCTCCAGTCAGCATCTGACGCTCCCGCCCCAGAATCAGAAAGTGGATTGGGAGTCCTCGGCCTATTTTGCTGTTTTCTAAAACAGTTGTCTAATCTGTTGGAAAATTTCTGCTATGTTTCCCTTAAGTGGCTAGTGGATGCAGTGAGTAATTGCTTTGGTAGCTCCGGTGGGTAAGGGTGTGTCGTTGATGTGAAAATTTAAGATTTAAACCCTGCTGGCGATGAGTTGTGTGGGGTGTTGTATTGTTGCCTGTTATAACTGAAAAAGGTCATTTTTCTTTTGAATAAACTGGGTTCTTCCTTTCACACGTCAGAAAAGCAATCTCTAAAACAGCTGTCCAGTTTCAAAGTGGCCTGTATGCTAAACTGCATAGGCTCTGTCCATCATGCCATGTGACAGATGCCCCCCACACCCCTCTCCATCACGTCACTACCCCTTCGAGAGCTACATGCAGCTGACTGACCAGCCACCAGTTAGACAGCTCAGCTTTAAAACACTTTTTTTTGTATTTAAAATACATTTTTTTTTGTAGTTAAGTACGGCCAGTTGTGCAGCATGCAACCAAATACAGTACAGGTACTCCACTGCATTTCTGAAAATAGATGCTTCTGTGTCATTTTTTGCACATTTTGATTGTTGGTGTGACGGGCAGGTTTGCAGGTTGTGAGATTACACTCTGACCTGTGTGATTCTTATCCCTGTTTTTCTCGTTCCTCAACAGAAACTAGATGGTTGTAACAAGATGACGTGCAATGGCTGTAGACAGTACTTCTGCTGGATTTGTCTGGGGTCTTTGTCTAGGGTGAACCCATATCAGCACTTTCATGATCCATCCTCTCCATGCTTTAACCGGTACGTATTCAAAGTACATGCTCTTGAATCTAATGCAGCTTACATTTGTGTAGCTTCTTTCCTACTACCTTTCACCCCCAATTCATTTTTTATTTTCTTGCACTGGAAAAGTCTATGTTACAGTCTGTGTGTACTAGTGGGAGGAAAAATTCTGAGAGGTTGGAAAAGAATGAAATGTGTTCAGATATAGTTTGAAATATGGAAAATTCTTTGAGGGATTTTTAATATGGTGGGAAATCTGCCAGCTGATTGCAGATGCTCTTTTCTCTGCTGCTGATTCAGAGACAGAAATTAATTTTTAACAAACTGCTTTCCTAAAAGGTTCTCTGTTGGTGTGATGAGTATGGGGTAAGGGCTGAGGTGGGAAGGCTGCTCTGGATTTTAGGAGCTGCAGACCTTTCTTCAGTGAATGTTTCAGCATTAGGATGGTGTGTGGGGAGACCATTACTGCTTGGGCAGATGTGAGAGGAACAGGTGAGAGAGGCATGACAACAGTAAGCTGAAAGCTTGTATTTTTTATAAGGGGATTTCTTGCTAATTAAGCATGATCAAAGAATTCTTTGCAAATATATTCCAATCCCAAATCTTCCCGCAAGTGTCGCAGGTCCTTCACTAGAGCATGTAGGTGCCTTATTCAACCCAACAGAGCCCACTATTTATTTCACTTGAGAATGCTTGCCTGCAGGGCCCCAGCAGGAACTGGGATTGGGCCATGGGTGCTTCATCTGGTGGGGGTGGGGCTGGCTCCCCACTGCGTGCACTGGGGGGGGGGGGGGCGCCCATGCCCCCCATTTCTGTGTGGGGTGCGGGGGGGGGGGAAAGGGGGGGCGCCG